GCCATCGTCTCCGATGATCTTCCGCTTAGAGTACTTACCACAACCAACCTTCTCTTTGGAGATCTGAGTCTTTGTGGTGAAGTAATACCACTCGTCTTCCTGGAGAATAGGATGGTTGGTTTGGTTAAGCAACCATGGCTCCTTGGCATAAACATCCTCCATCCCTATGAAGTCTCTTCCACGGTATTCACCTCTTAGCATCGGTTTAAGATAACAATTGATGATTTCGTCGTCTGAGGGATCAAAGTGAAACCCTTCATCATCATCTTCATAGTACTCCGTCGTCATTTTATATGCTTCTCTCAACGATGAAATCTGAGGGCAAAACTATTTTATGTTCTGTGATTTTAGATTATGAAGAGAGATATGAGATTATGAGTTAACTTGTGTGTCTTTATATATCGGTGCTTTTTTCCAACAAAAATTTGGTCTCGCAAGATTTTGTATATCTTAATATTTTATTTAAGATTTTGTATACATCTCGATATTGTTTATAATATTTTCTTTATATCATAATATTTTTTATATATAAATAATATGTAATCTGTTGAAAACAATATTAAGATATATATATATACGACTTTCTTCTTTAAAACAAAATTCAATTTTAAGATGGCGCAACAAATAAATAAGTTGGGTATAATTTTATTTGCAGCTAGTTTGTATAGTTATTTAATGATTTTGTTCTCATAAAACACTCCTAACAAAATATCCTTTCTTAAGGTTGAACAAAAATAATATATATCCTTAGTATTTAAAACGAAATAAAATATTATTTGTTAGTGTGGTAAAAACATGATTGTTATAGTCTACATGATTAAATAACACATGAAATGAAATCAACATATTTATGATGAATTTTGTAACCAGTGAAATTAAGTATTTGTCCAAAAAAAAAAAGGAAATTAATGAGTGTTCCATTTAAATTAAAGGTTATCCTTTGATTAAAGTAAACTAAAACATACAACTTCATGAAGCAAATGAAATATGTTATTTGTTGATCACTTTGAAGACAAAGCTTTATATATTAAGATAGATAATGAATTTTGGAACCAATGCAGTTTAAAAAAAATATATTCATATATATGCTTTTAAAAATATGAATGATTTATTTTATACTTTCTATGCAATTTTTTTGTATAAAATTTCATATTTTACCTCTTATTGATTAAAGTAAGAAAAAAGAAAAGGAAACAACTAGTAAGTAACAACAACCTCAGCCGGTTTAAAATTCAAGCTAGGTCCAAAAGCCCAAATTACTTTTATGTATGATTAGAAAATTGGTCTCAAACCAAAGTTACATACAACTGTCTTAAGAAAAAGAACCAGAAGTCTCTAACTTTGTCCGCAAGTCATAAGAAAAAACCTTTGTTTCTCTTCGTCATGCCCACAATCGCCATCAACGGCCAGCTTATCGCGGCGCCGATAACTTACACCACCGCTTCTTCGTATCTCTCCTCTCGCCGTCAATATAAATCTTTATACTCGTCTCGCGAACTCCGCTTCAACGCACCTCCCCCTCGCCTCCCATCCTTGACTTGCTCCTCAACAAGCTCGCGTACTCGGAGGATCGAGCCTTCCTCCAACAATATTCTCCTTAACTCATTGGCGAAATCTTTCGCCGTTGATGCCTCCGCCAAGCCGAAGCCTTCGTCTAACGGTAATCTCCGTAAGTCACTTGCGAAATCTCTCGTCGTCACCTCTGTTTCTTCCGCCTCGTCTCTGTTTCTTCCACGACTATTTTCTCTTCTTTCGATTCTAAAAGGCGGAGGTGGAGGCGGGGGTGATGGGGGAGGAGGAGGAGGAGGAGGCGGAGGTGGCGGATTTTGGAGGAATTTGTTTCTAATTGCAGTACCAGTGGCCGTAGCTGACGAAGAACCGTCACCGGAATGGGATTCTCACGGTTTACCGGCGAACATTGTTGTACAGTTGAACAAGCTAAGTGGTTTTAAAAAGTATAAAGTCTCAGATATAATCTTCTTTGATCGACGGAGTAAAGCCAACGTTGAAACAGGGGATTATTTCTTTGAGATTGTCTCGATTCAGCCGGGAGGAGTCTACACAAAAGCTCAGTTGCAGAACGAGTTGGAAAATCTAGCGAACAGTAGTATGTTTGATAAAATCGAATTTGAAGGGAAGACGAAGCCTGACGGAACACTAGGTGTTACATTCTCTTTCGTGGAGAACAGGTGGCCAGCCACGGAGAGGGTTCGTTGCATCAACGTAGGGCTAATGGCTCAACCTAAGCCGGTAAAGATTGATCAAGACATGACAGAGAAAGAGGTGATTGAGTATTTGAGGAGCCAGGAGAAGGATTACAAGCGGAGGATCGAGAAGGCAAGACCTTGTTTGTTGCCCGGATCAGTTCAGCGAGAGGTGATGCATATGTTAAGGGGTCAAAGGACCTTAAGTGCGAGGTTTTTGCAGAGGATTAAGGATCGAGCTCTTAAATGGTACCAAGACGAAGGGTATATGTGTGCTAATATGATTATTGGAAACTTGAACAGTAAGGAACTTGTTTTCGAAGTTGTGGAAGGAGACATAACAAAGTTGGTTATCCAGTTTCAAGATAAGCTTGGAAATGTAGTTGAAGGTCACACACAGATCCCTGTCGTCCGGAGGCAAATTCCCAAACAGGTAATGTATCTCGAGCCAGTTCAATGTGTTCACCATTATTTGATTTTGAGTATGGATCATGACTTAAAAGTCAAGAACTTTCCATAAGACTAAAACCACTTAAACCTATTAAGAGGTTTCAGATCATAAACGTCTACTGACATTTGTAAAGATAACAGCTTCGTCCAGGTCATGTGTTCAACATGGAAGTTGCTAACCAAGCTGTGAGGAACATACACTCTTTAGGCTTGTTCTCTAATACAGAGATCATTCCAATTCCAGATGAGAAAAATGAAGGTGGTTTAATCGTGGAGATCAATCTTAAGGAGCAAGATCAGAAATCAGTAGAAGTAACTACAGACTGGGCTATTGTTCCTGGAGCCGGAGGTTATCCTTCATTGGTATGTGCAGCTACTAAACTTTGAAAACTTTTAATTTTTAAATTCTCCTCTAAATTTGTTATATGTTCATTGTTTTATCTTGCGTTATTAGGATTCGTTTCTTCCAGGAGGGACTGTTTCTTTCGAACATCGAAACATCAAGGGCCTTAACCGATCTATCATGGGTTCAGTGGCCACGAGAAACCTTTTGAATCCTGAGGTACACTTTGTTTCCATATGATCTGATACATATCTGGTTCAAATTTTAGTTTGTTAACATCCATACTTGGTTTTGCACACAGGATGATCTTTCGTTTAAGTTTGAGTATGTACATCCATATCTGGACGGTGTTTCCAATCCTAGAAACCGTAGTCTCAAAACAAGCGTCTTCAACAGCAGTAAACATAGCCCAGTGTTCACTGGAGGTCCAGGCTTTGAGGAAGGAGTGGCTCCAATCTTGGTGGAGCGAGCTGGTGCCAAAGCCACTATAACTGAGGTAACTAATTAAGTCCCCTGTGATCAACTTGTTTTCTTCTCCGACAAGCAACTAAACAAATCCCGGTTTTTATACGCGCAGGACTTCACACGACAGAGTAAACTTACATATGGACTTGTGTTGGAAGAGATAACAACCAGAGATGAAAACAAACAAATCGCTACAAATGGTTTGGTGTTATTGCCTGATGGAGGAATCAACGTTAACGGGCCTCCAACAACTCTCAGTGGAACAGGTGTCGATCGTGTAGCCTTCCTACAAGGCAACATAACCCGAGACACCACCAAGTTTGTGAATGGTGCTATTGTTGGAGAGAGAAATATCTTTCAGGTGGATCAAGGCTTGGGTATAGGAAGCAGCTTCCCACTCTTCAACCGCCACCAACTAACCTTAACAAAATTCATTCAGCTGATGCAAGTAGAAGAAGGACCAGGTAAACCACAACCACCAGTTCTAGTCCTTCATAGCCATTATGGTGGCTGCGTAGGCGATCTTCCAAGCTACGAGGCTTTTGCTCTTGGAGGACCTAACTCTGTTAGAGGTTACACCATGGGAGAGCTTGGTGCAGCTAGAAACATTCTCGAGGTAAAATATGATAAAACAAAGCTCATACAAGATCGTCTTTTAACCTAATTCTGATGTGTTTTTTTGGTGTTACAATTGTAATAGGTTAGTGCTGAGGTTAGAGTACCTGTGAAGAACACGTATGTGTATGCATTTGCTGAGCATGGAAACGATTTGGGAAGCTCAAAGGATGTGAAAGGGAATCCAACGGCGGTGTGTATGAGAATGGGACAAGGTTCATCGTATGGTGTAGGTGTGAAACTTGGTCAGATAAGAGCTGAATATGCTGTAGATCACAATTGTGGAACTGGTGCTCTGTCTCTAACTTTTGGAGAGAGATATTAAGGATTAAGTTGGCGCCTTGCAAAATAATATATTGCTCTTTTTCTTTAGTTTAGTAACTCTATAATATACACTGGTTTTATATAATCTGGATACTCTAATATTTAACTTTTAGATCATTTATGTAAATTACTGATTGTTAATTGAGATGCTTTTTATGGGATGAATCCAAAACAATTTTTTTTTTTTTTTTTTGCTACCTGGTCGTATGAATTTTGATCATATTGAAATAGTTTTCGATCTTTCATATTCTGTACGACTGTAACTTGTTCGTCTATATTCACCAAAAAAACATGAACTTTTTCTTATCTAATTAACGTTACATAGAATTAAGATAATTTTTTTTAATTAACCTGTAGGCTGTAACCAAAAAGAAAAATAATCTGCAATACTTGGTGCTTGATTTGTTTAAATCCTTAATATTTCGACCATTACACCAAAACAGACCACAAAACTCTTCTACTTAGCGACTTCACTAATTAAACAATCCATATGAAAAAAGAAGAAGAAAACAAACCCTAAAATAGAACACCGAAACATTGGTTGACAAGAAAACAAAAAAGAACACCAAAGTTAAAACATTTAAAGTACGCAGCATTAACTAGCTTGGAAAGAAGCTACTAGGATGATAAAGAATAGAGTCCAAGATAGTTGCAATGTATCTTCCAGGAGACCTAGACAAGAGATGGCGAAAAGGCATGAGCTTGTTCACCAAAGCGTAAAACAGATCAGGCGTCATATAGTTCATCGTGAGTAGCAGTGCATTGCGTATCACGAAATTCCCATACTCACTCCTCGCCAGCCTCATCAGCTTCTCTCCCTTGCACTTAACAAGAACCAAAACCACATCTTCCATTACTGAGCCCCCTGCTTTCAAAACCTTGTCCACGATGTAGCTTCCATACTTCCTGAACGAGAGATCGACGTAGTGGCCGCGTAGATTAACAGCGATGTTACGCGTGCAACGCATGTCACGCAGTTCAAGCACGTGTTGGACAACAAAGTTCCCATAAGGATCGTTGCTTAGCCAAACAGCGTTGTTCGCGACTATGTCCAGGAGCTGGTTTCTGTAGTCACGATGGTCCAAGTCGGTTATGATTTCGTTGAGGGCGATGCAACCGTGTTGGTCACAGGCCAGGTGAAGCGCGTGTCGGAGAGTGAACTCGTATATTAACTCCTTCTTGTCCTGTTGGAAAACTCTCGTTCCTTGTATCCCCACGTAGGACGCGTACTTGTCGGTCATGACCTGGACGAAGATGCGCGTGATAGCCTTGTAGAAGAAGGTGTCCATGTAATCCGATTTCCCCATGAGTCTCTGCATGTTTTTGCTCCCGAATTTGTTTCTTGCAACCTCCATGAAGTAATCGGAGTCTGAAGTCAACATAGACACAATCTTTTCAAGCTTGCTCATGTCAAACGTTGAGATGACGTCTTTAAAGCGACGCCCATCACCTTCGCTTATAGTCATAAGGTCGAAGATCCATTGGAAACTGATCATCTCCGATATATCAGGGATCAAATCCGCCCTGATTCCCCAGCAGAACAAGGAATCTCCTTCTTCACGTGGAGGAGGAGGAGGAATCATCACCGGAGGCTCCTCGTTCGTGGTTTGTCTTGCGGGGGCAAAACGGAGTTCTTGCAAAGCATCGAACATTGAAGTCATTGAAAAAGGATTGGTGGTTTCCATTGTATTACGTTCGATCTACGGAAGTGAACTACTGTCGGAAAGCTTAATAAAGGTTTTGTGTTTGTGATATTTGAGAATGCTAAAGATTTGAGTGTTCTGAATCGTTCTGATACGCTATATATATATATATATATATATATATATATATATATAACAGAATGGTTTTGGTTCCTTTTTCTAATGAAAAAATGAGTCATCTAGGTTGGTTCCCAATAGAAATTGGAAATCTTTATAACAGACTCGCTAGAGTTTGTCACCATTGGGAAAAGCAAGATGATCCTTCGGTAATGGTCGGCATAGCTTTTTTGCAGAGGATCTTTAACGTCTAAATAGTACATACTAGTAATTTAATTGTTTTTATTTGCGTGTTCAGATTTACCAATCTATAGTAACTTTAAACAAAGTTAATATATGCCAATTGTTTTCCAAATCAAACAACATACATAATAATTCAGAATCTCAGATAGTGATCACACACCAATAATGCTTACAACTTATGTACATAAACTGGATTCTCAAAAATGATATGGAAATTTAAGAGTTCAAAGGCGAGGATGATAAAATACAGGCATGCATGCAACTAGAAGTAAAGAACTAACATAAAGAAATATGAGACTTTTGATGAAGTCCTCTTGTTTAACATATAGAAACTTTACTGATTTGTTAAAAGACCCAGTATCTTGTGTACATTACATTCAATATAAAGAAGCATCCTGCTGGTAACGAGAGTGGAGAGATCTTGGGACAAACCCAAAGAAAACGATATCAAAAATTTGATCGAAGTGAATCTACAGAGTGCAATCATTAATTATAATATAACATAAAACATCTGAAATACATTAGTCTCAAACTCTCAATCTTCAGCGCTTTGCTTCCTAGTCACTCATCAGAATGAGAAACCAGAGAGACAGGGGCAGGTTTGTAAGGGGAGGTTTGGTAGGGTGTTAGGCGTTCCCAAAGACTATCCCAAAGCCACCCTGAGCTTACAGTAAAAGCTATCCACTACCCCTTTGATAGAGGCTCTACTAAGATAATATTGTTACCAAACGTATGCAAACCTCGTCAAATCTTCTTTAGGACTGGTCAATGCCCACCGAAGAATGTCCACTAAACATCTTATGAGCTCTAGGCTCTAGCTGTCTAGCATATCCATGCGCCTCAGCAACTATGTATATCAACAACGGACATCTCATATTTATATAGCATAGAAAAAAACAGAGAGGGATTAGGTTAAAGGACTTTCCAATCACCTTCGGGTACGAAATTAAAACTGATTCCGGCAGCCTTACATGTATCTATATATCCTTGTTGCCTGATGGCGACTCCTTCCGGGTCGGGATGTTAGTAGTATTTAGTATATAGGGGATGGTCAGAAAACTAATAAATGTGAAAATATATTCATTAGAGCCGCAAAACAATAAACCAGGAACCACAATATATATTTTGAAGAAGAAAAAAACAAGAAAGAGTCGTTCTTCATAAACAGACCCCTAGACCAAAACTTATTTTCTCTAGGAACAAAAGCAAAATATGAAGGACACATGAAACCAAACCAGCACAACTTTGTAGTATAATAGCATCTCCATATAACTCAACAGCTCAACAACTCGTGAACTCAAAACCGCCTCTGCGGTTGCGTTTTAGTTTCTTGGGACGTTAAGCCTTAGTCTGAAATCTTCTTCCATAAGGGGAAGTCCTTCTCTGAGCTTCACCTTTGGCTCCCAGCCCAACACTTCTTTGGCCTTACTAATGTCTGGTTTCCTCTGTCTTGGATCGTCTGGCGTGTTCTCCACCATCTTTATCTCTATGCTTGGATTAATTAGCTGCGTTTCATATAAATAAATTCAGAAACTAAAACATGAATCAATTGCAAGATTTATCATATCGTTTGGAGTAAACCGACTCTAACCTCCTTAACGGTTTCAGCTAGTTCCACCATTGTAAATTCACCTGAGAAACAAAGAAAGAAGTTGTGGTTTCAGATCATAGGTGCTGAATCCTACTTAATCAAAACAAAAGCCACACTCTAGTTATAGGTGTTAAAGTATAAAGGTTAGAATGGAAAGGCGTACCTGGATTACCGATGTTGATAGGGCCAGTATCTTCGCCTTCCATAAGACGGATAAGTCCATCCACCATGTCGGAAACATAACAGAAACTGCGGGTCTGGGTCCCAGGTTTCTGAACTGTCAATGACTCCCCCCTTACAACACATTCATGGAAACTACTAAGCAAAGATGATATTAAAAAAAAAGGGTTTCGGTGTGTAGAGAGAGCAAGAGACTTTACCTGAGTGCTTGAGCAATGAAGTTGCTCACAACACGCCCATCATCAATGTTCATTCGAGGACCATAAGTGTTGAAAATTCTAGCAATACGGATTTCTACAAATAAAGAACATGCCAATGAGATTTTAAGTAAACCATTGGATAAAGAAAGAGTGATGAGGTGAATTTGGTTTGGAAAAACAAAATCTAACCAATGCCGTGTTGTCTGTGGTAATCAAACATCAAAGTCTCTGCTACACGCTTGCCTTCATCATAGCAACTCCGAACCCCTTTTCATAACAGCAACCAGGTTAAGTTTACAAAGCTGCAAGAATCTATAACATGAGAAAATTCTAAACTTACCAATTGGGTTGACATTTCCCCAGTAACTCTCAGGTTGAGGGTGGATGAGAGGATCTCCATACACTTCCGAGGTTGAGGTGAGCAAAATTCTGTTCAAAGAAGAGCAAATTGTTAGTTGCAAAGCTGAGGCATTAAGAAGTAGATGTAATTTAGAAACAGGGAGTAGAACCTTGCTCCAACACGCTTGGCAAGACCGAGCATGTTCAATGTACCGATCACATTGGTCTTGATTGTCTGCAGAAACAGATCATATATTATATAACTAAAGGTTCCTTCTGATTATATAAAATTGATATTAGAACATATATCATACACAAACCTTAACAGGGTTGTACTTGTAGAAGATAGGAGAGGCAGGACAAGCAAGATGGTAAATCCGATCAACCTCGATCAACAAAGGCTCCGTAACATCTAGATAAACCCCAAAACCAAAAAGAGATGTTGATGTAGAATCTCATTGACATAAATAAGAGACTATAACATCCACCTTTAACAATAAGCTGAGTGTCTAAACAACCATACCGTGACGAATAAGCTCAAATCTCGGGTGACCGATCCACTTCTTCAGGTTTTCTTTTGATCCAGTGAAATAGTTATCAGCAACAACCACCTGAGAATCAAACGAAACATTAAAAAAAAATGATCAAACTTGACAACATAAATCAGCATCTCAAGTTTTGATGAGCGTAGACGTATACAGACCTCATTCTTCTCATTTTCCATGAGCTTATCAACCAAGTGAGAACCAATGAACCCAGCTCCTCCAGAAATCAAGATCCTCATATTGGACTACACAAACAACAAAAAGCAAACAACTTTAAACACATATAACAAACATAAGAATCCTCCAATCACAGCCAATCAGATCAAACTAATAAACCCACAAGATCTGATTCTGTAAAATCTCAATAAAAACTAGAATGATCCAACAAAATTCCTCCCACAATGTAGCCAGCAAAAGAAGGGTCAGATCTAATAAGTGACACAAACTAAGGATTGGAGTTAAAGTATCTTCATTACAATGCCAAAGAGATGAAGCCATTACATAAGATCCTTGTGACACAACTAAACAATGCAATTGGAGGGAATGAAAGGTTCACAATCGCATCTTAATCTCCAAAATCGAATCGAATAATATAAAGCTGTTCGTACCTGAGAAAACTTGGAATTGCGGAGAGGAGAAGGAGAAGGAGGAGGCTTAGTGCTGTTCTGTTTCTCACTTGTAGCCGCCATTGTTTGAGAGAGATCTCAAATCCTGAGTTTATTTTTTTTTAACCAAAACGCGCATTAAATGAGATTGAAATTAACAGAACAGTGAAAAAAAAAAGGAAACTTTGCAAAAGAAGGATCAGGATTTACCAGAAGAAACTTGGGTGTGAATCGAAGAAGCTCAAAACCAAAATCTTGTGATCTGATGATTATGTGAAAATAAGAGACACAAAGAGATCGTCTACTTATAGTCCCCTGGTGTCTGAACTTCATCTACCAATTAACAAACTTTTACGATTTTTATTTTTATTTTTAATTAAAGAATGATTTAATTCTGGTTAGGGATGATTAATATTAATTTTACTTTATAGTTTAGAGAAAGAAAGAGACTTCAAAAACACGAAATGCGGAAATAACAAAATAGCAAAATATTTGACTTTAGCTACTAAATCACGACAACGTTTGACCTAACAGTTTTCTGACGTGGCAATTTGTTTTTTATTTTCCAATTTCATTCAGTTTTTACTTTTTTCACCTTCCAAGCTTTTTTTTACCTCTCTTATGATCTGGTGGTGATTCTTATCAAGTCACAAAGGATTTATCCATTAGGGGTTTCGAATTTTGTGTGTTTTTTTTTAGTTGCATCTATAGTAGTACCTCAATAAAACTCGATACTACATAACACAACTAGCCAACAAATTGTCAATCACTTTGTTCACACAAATCAATCATTCACCATCCAACATCCTACATGTATCGTCCACTATCTAATAATCCTTCTTCTTCATCCATAGTCCACATAACCCTATCATCTACCATCCACAATTCCATCATCAGTCTTATTTGATTTCTATTTTTTTTTTATAATACATCTCCTAGAGAAAAACTTCGGAACTGTAATAATAAAAGATGCTGGAGCCAAAACGCATTGTTCAGATTTCATCAATTCTTCCAAGGAACCAACAAAAAATTATGATTAGATATACGCCTAACTATATTATATATACTTGTTCAGTTGAGTAAGATATACTTTTTGGTTAACACCAACCAAACTTAAGAGTATGACTTACGTTTAATCAACACAAGGCACATGATTTCAGTTTTTCAACCCATCGATCATTTGTTTACTACATTGCTCCTATTGACCGAAGGAAAAGAAGAAACTACAATTCTTTTGTAAAATGAATTTATTTGTTCAGGAATGTTGGATTGTTTAAGTTCTTCCGTACTTCTTCTACCAAGAAAATGAAGATCTCCGGATAAGTCATCAAGCTCATATATATAACCCGAAGGTTCCTTCAAGTTTGCGAATCAAACATTGCATTGTTGTAAGACATATTTTGATTTATCATCGATCCTAGATGTTCCAACCCGAATAATTTTCCACCTTTTGTTTTCAATGATCTACCAGTAAATACTTAGATAGTAGTAGTCAAAGAAGGTAGCCTGTGAGTTTTAGATAATTTCAGGTTTCAGGTTGCACTCGTTTGCAAGGAAATTTGTCTCAAACCCATTCAAATGAGACTGAAGTGGACATCACCCTTTCAATGGTTAAGAATCTCCCATTTTACTTTCCAAGTAAATTTGGCTTCAACCCACTCACATTGAAGTTGACATGATAAGGTTTCTATACTTTGAATCGGAACTGCATGCCTGCTTTTGTTGGATAAACCGGCATGGGTTGTGATGACGACGACTTTGCATATTGCAAGTTACAATCCATATAAGAAGCACAGTGGCACAAACAAACTAGCAGTTAAAGTGAAAGCAGTGCAAAATCAGAGAGCAAAGAAGCATTCTTAACGAATGAAATTTATAATTTTTAATGTCAAGGTTCTCAGGAAACAACATTTTTCTCCACCAAACACTTTTCAGAACGCTCTGGTTCTCGAACGCTACAAAAAAGAGATGTAACCCGAGTTATAAAAGTTGCGTTTTGGACAGTTTTGAAGGGTTTCAGATAGGAATATGAAGAACTTTTTGATGAAACTCCAGCGATCTTCAAGGGTGTAAAGTTTGAAGCTGAATCACAACATTTCTTGAGACTTTCTGACACAGCGGCTCACTTTCTTCTTGAACTCATCTCTCTTCTCTCTCCATTCTTTCTGCACAAGAGTAACACACACACACACACACAATTCATGACCGTGTTCTGCTCTTAACTGCAAGCTATGCACGATGAATCTTGATAAGAATAATCGATTAAAATACTAACCGCGGCCTCAACGTTTGCTGGAGACTCATCATTTGGACCAGAAAGCATTGATATGATACTCAACATAATACTTTCAACCTGAAACACCAGAATTTATTTCACCATGGCATGAGAATGTAAGACAATAGAATAAATCACCTAAAGATCCATTAGAGAGTGTGAAGTATAGCAACTCTACTCCTTAGAATCTGCTACATCTGAGCAAAACACTGACATGTTGTTATAGAAGCAGAAATGAACAAAATCAAAAACAATATAACATACTGTATGAACAGGAGTCCAGCGCTCGCTTGCAAGCTCATAACCGCTAGGATCATCACCAGGAGGATGAAGAATAGATATGCAAACACGGCCATCAGAATAAACTGCAGTATAGAAGCAAAGTACACTGAGAAAAGATAGGAGAAATGTCTCTCTTATTCGTATTCCTTAGAATCCTTTTTCAAATAAAACCGATAAAGAGAAAACTAACCATTAGGATGCCACATATCCGAAGTAAACCTCACGGTTGGCGGGCTGTTCGGATAGTTTTGCGGGAAGGTCATAATAGCGTTAAAGAAGCCTCCTTCACTGCAATTACACCAAGTTTTAAAACCATATGCACAAGGAAATCTTTGGCAAAGTGTCATCAAAAAGAACATTTGCAGACAAGGCTCCTAACAAAGGCGAATTCGGATAAGAATCTATTCCAATATAATCCCATTGAGAGCAATTCGATTCGATTTTAAAACATCATGAGATATATCACTATATGAAGAACTATACAAGAACAAACCTAAATCAAAGAATCAAAAGAGAAAACAAGATAAACAAAAAGAAGATCACATAACTATGTGATCTATAGAGTCCAAATCTCAAGCCAATAACAAATGAATCAAGAATCCGACAAAAAACAACCAAACATGAATCAAGAAGCCTTAAAAAAAATCAGAAAATAAAGCAATAGAGGGAAGAGAGCGTTACTAGAGAGTATCAGGAGGACCAATAATGGTAACGCTCCATTCGAATATATTCTTCTCATCAACCAGACCAGCTGAGAATCCATCAACAGGATGCTTACAGAGATCTGGAAACACAACAACAACAACAACAACCCAATTAGACAAAACAATATAACAATCACAAGATTCATTTATCTAGGCAAAGAGAAACAGAGATTCAAATCAATTGCTCTTGTACCTTTGAGTTGTTTCTGAAGGAGAAGGCTAGCTTGCGAAGCCATGGCTGATAAACTCGAGAAACTGAAATTGGAGATTATTATTTCTCTTATAAGAAGCTTCTGATTTTTTTATTTTTTTGTGTGCGTATGTATGTTTCGGGAATTTGATGAGAACAACACATGATGATGAGAAGGAGCTAGAATCTTCTACGGCCTACCTTGTGTGTACTTTACTATCCTAACCAATAAGCTTTCGCGATCTTTCTACTTTCCGTTACGTTTACTAAAAAAATTATAACGCTCCCTATTTAAACCGGGTTTGATTTGGTTTGCAGAGATTCTCCGGTTTAGTCCGATTGCTAGAAAATTAATCTGTCTTCACATTTTTAATTAACATATATAACTCTCTCTTTTTTTTTTTTACATCACATATATAACTCATTTAAGAAATTAATCTACTAGACATATAATAAAATAGTTTGATTGATTTTGATATTATGATCAAATCAAGTTGCCATCATTATTCATGAGTCATGAGTGTGATCCAGTTTTTCTTCTGTATATAAAGGGCCATGACTAAATTAATAGACACGTTAATCATTTTCATTATATTGTTCTCATCCTTTATATATCAAGACCATTATATGAATATATATACATATAGCGAAAGAATAACTTTAATCATAAACTATACATAATGAAACAAAAAACTTTAATCATATTGATTCAATGAAACAAAAACTTTAATCCATGTTCTAAAGATCGTCGCGTCGACATATCTTATATATCATCAATAAGAAGACACCCATCAAAAAAGCACAAAGCAACCAAAAAAATATTTTATATATCATCATCATCATATTAAACCAAGTGGTTTACAAATTAATCACTTCACTTTATTTTATTGATCGAGATCGAAAGCTCTTAGAGGATACGTACATTTTCCAAGAAATCAAAAAGGTTTGGTAATGCGACTAGCAATACTTAAAAACATAACGGTAAGCTTTGCCGGTGGAAAAAGAAAAACTATATCGTGCTGGTGTATATTTTCTTGAATAGATTTCGTGGTGGCTATGATGATAACACTTAAATGATGACAAGTTAAAGTGAAATTGAAATGAAGGCCGCAAAAATCTTGCCGACGTATAATATTACAGTACAGTGACTCTGTGAAGTGTGAACGTTTTCAAGTTAGTCGCTACAGCCTACATGACCAAGGTTGCTAATAAATGATATTAAGATTAAACCAGGCTTAGTCGATCGGCTTGGTCCAGTTTTTGTTGGTCACATATGAGACTCATTCCAAGGTAATAGCAATAGGCAAACAATTCAAAAGATAATTAGGTTCTACCAAGATAATTTACAAAGATCAACATGTAGAGAATATATCATATTTGTATTAAGGGTATTTATGTATATTAAAATCCCTAGTTAGTCTTATGTACCTCACTATATATAGTTGTAATCATTCTATCAATAATACTTAACATTCACATTCTACACAACATACATGATGTAGCCTTCAATCGAGTCTGCACAGAATAAAACATATAAGAAATATGAAAGAAGCTATAATATGTTTATCTATTTCTAAACACATTGTAATTGCTAAGTGGAAATGTGTCATTGCATAGGATTCCAAGATATGACATTTTAACCAGAGAATCTTAACTTGGTTTCTTCAAGACAAGTAATCATCACGGTTCTCCAAGGAGAGTACCAACTAGATGTGAAAAAATTTGTTTTTATCGTGCCTTGTTATACATCTAGTATATATATGATTCCTAGCTAGCTATATGGAAACAATAACCTAATTCTCTACCTAAAAAAACTATGAAAAAACATGATATCATCATCAAGCTTCTCCTTATCATCTGCCTCTTTCTCAGTCAAATCCTGACTCGGGAATGCCGAGAAGGTAATCTCATCACTCACTCTCCCATGTGTGTGTGGTATAGTGTTAGGTTTGCACTCTTATATACTAAGCTCTGTTTTTGCTCGTACCAGTCCATTTCAAGATTGGACCTCTAAAGATCATCACAAAACCGAATTACGGTAGTATGATACCAAATCGGGTAAGGAGATCAATTTTATTTTTGCAAATACACATTCAAGAACATAAGCATCATTATAACATCTTTCTTATGGAAATAGGTCGAAGAAAAAAAGTTGCATAAGCACCCATCCGGACCTAACCCAACAGGAAATCGCCACCCACCGGTCAACCCTTGACTCAATATCAGCACAAATGTCGACACCAAAAGAGTCTTATAAGTCAATGTCTAATAAATCTCGTCAGAAGATGTAATAAGGAGTGAAGCAGCTTATAAGAGGGAGTGTTACTTACAAGTTACAGATCCAATGTGTGTGTGAAACATATGTACTCTAATAGACTATATATATTAATTCGGTGAAAATAAAAACAAGAGAAGAGGCCTTAATTATAAGCACAGCCTCTAAGTTGCTACCATAAGTCCATAACAGAGCCATCTTAACGGAGCAAGACATGTGAAACGAGCTGAGATTTTGAAGCAGAGCATTTTTCTTATTATTGAGAATAACTGTGGGATTCCACATTCGATATGTTTCTATTTCCTCAGCATATGTTATAGTGAACTTGAAAATTTTGTTTTGTTTTTCATAAAGAGTTTTCAGTATGAATTTGGATTCTCAAATTTTTATACATATACACTATAAACTAAATCTTGTTAAGGGATCTTTTTTTTATGGCATAAACATGCATTCTTCGTCGGATTTTTAAATTAGTGTTTGGTTTAATCACAATTTTATAAATTCACTCCAAAACTAAGAGCTTAATGTATTACTGGTTACTTATAGATCTCTTCACTATATATATGATTATAATGTTTGAAATGAGTTGGATGAAAGTTATAAAGCGAAGATGATTAATAAGACAGTATTATCATATCTTAAACATGTAAGATACAATAGTGTACATCATATATAAGAAAAAGCAACAAAGACATGGTAAATATCAGCTTAGATAGCCGTCTTTTATTTTACTTAAGATATACGAAACCAAACTCTTCAGGCAAGTGATGACGTAGTTAAGCTCCCATTTCACTTGATGCTGAAACAATACAGACGATCAAGAGTATAAGTTATGCATGTCATTAGAAACACTAAATTATCGTGTCAAGATGAAGTAGAAAATAAGAATATTCGAGATGAGAGAGTAAGAGCATTAAGAAACGTACGTGGCGCAGTTAGTGCTCGTGGAGATGGGGTAGGGAATGCTAACACCACACTTTCCAGGAAGGCTTGAAGCTAGACTCGGGTTAATGCCCTTTGCAGCGGACTGTAAGCAACGGCAAGCTTGTTGGCGGTCAGGAGTGGTTTGAGCCAGACCGTTCAACTTCTTGACTCCTGCACAACACGGAGCCGGCACAGCCCCACCTTTCGATAGATAGCCTCCACATGGAGCCAAGCTACTTGCCACTGTGCCACATGAGATAGCTGCATCTACTGATGCAACTATGCACACAGTCAAAACTAGGCATGTAAAGAACTTCAAAGCGAAAGCCATTTGTGTTTGAGGTTTGGGTTTCTTAGCTTTGTGTTGTTGTTGTTGGATGTGAGAAAAGTGGGAAGTGATGATGGGTTTATATAGGGATTTCATATGGGAAAAATATATATGATGACTAATTAGAAGGTTTTTGTTAGTACGTAGTTTTTTAATATTTATTATAAAGTTATTTAGGTTAGTAGTATGTACGTAGTTGGATTTGCATTTACTTCATTCGTTCTTTCCAGTTTCGAATGATTTTTCATGTAAACAATAAAAGATGAAATTAATTACAAAAATTTATCTTCAATGTTTAACTGTTACAAAAACGGATTTACATACCTTTTCAACTTGATTATTATAAATTATTATCATGTTTTGAGAAATGTATATATATATATATACATATATGAAATCGTATATGCCTTCGTTGTACACTTGTACTTGAATAAAATGTCAGCTATATTAGTCGTGGTACTATGTAGACTAAATACAAATACCGTCCAATTAAATGCGATGTGCAAACTGAAGGACACGTGTATCCACCACTAAAACATCACACGACTCTCCTTAATAACTAAAAGCACCATCACATTAACTAACTATGGATTTTTATGCACCTGCCATTGTCTATCGCCATTTTATATTTAGCAAATTTCACATTTTATAGCTTACTACATAATTGAATGAGATAGATGCTATTTGGAGTTTACTTTCCTCTCCAAATTTCGTATAATCAATAAAATAAATGCGTTTACCAACAACAAAAAAGTTTTTATTTTTATTTTTTTCTCATCAACCAAAAAAGTTTTATCAGCAAAATAACACATTAACACTATCGCTTTATATGCCACGAATTTATATTCACATGCAGTCTCAGGCATTGTTTGCTTAATTTGTACATACACATATACACAATTCCTTTTCATTTTTGCTCTTCATATCCTATACGCATGCATGCATGTGATGATGTTTCTCCAATGTCTCACATAGCTTTGAACGTGAAGGGTTGATATATGGTGTTGAATACTATCGGCCAAAAAGCGTCAAGCAACATCGTACAAGATTGATAGATCTCCACATGTGTAGTCGTCAACAGTACTAGTACGTTGTTGAAAGTGGCAATTTAACTACACAAACCTCTGCCGACACTAATTTCATAATTATTTTACGTCACTGTTATAATTATGGTTTAATTATATAAATTATATAAACTCAATAGTTAAATTCTGTTAAACATCACTCATATCAATTTTATGATAATATCATATGATCTTTACAATAAGCATTGCAATTCCGTATATTTTTTTATATATAATTGTGAAAAACATCAGTACTTCTAAATCTAATACTTCTTCCCTATCATTTTAATTGATGTATATTGTTTTAAAAATAAATTTTTCTTCTTTTTTACCATATGTTCTGCATATGGGGTTTTAATTGGTTTAATTCAATTTTCTTAATGATGTTTTTATGTAAAAGATATCAATTAAATGAAAACAATATGATTTTAAAAATTATATGTAGAAACTTTAAACATCAACTAAGATGAATTAAAGAGAGCGATATGAGTTTTGATATGGTCTCTCTATCTTATACTGTTATATACTTTCAAACGGTACATAATAATAAAAAAAATCTTAATTTTTCTTGTTTCTAAAGATGACACGTAACAAATATAAATTGTTTGATGTTAAAAATAAATAATTATAGTAATCAAAACTACTACGACATGTCTGAGGGCTGTTTCTTCCTTTCCATAAATATATTTTTTTTCTGTTTACGTGAAAGATTTTTATTTTTTAGTTTCAAAAGGATATCACATCTCAAATTACCAACTATCAACTACAAACTACTTCGACATCTCAAATTGAACCGCTAATTAATAACTACTTTACATGCTAATTATTTTTCTTTCCCTACACATGAATGGCTGACTAACCAAATTCCATGCAAATAACACTATATTTTTTGCTTTCTTCACCACTCACCAGGCTGATTAATAATTTTTGTACTGAAATTCTGAAACCTACATAAGCAACTGTTAGAAACATTTTTTTATAAGTGATCATGTATCAGCCGATAAAAAATAAATAAAAATAATAAGTGACCATGTATCATCCACGGGAAAGTGCTAATGGTTTTTGTTCTGTCACTAATCTGATGGCCAGAGTTAATTAAAAGCAAAATAAAAGGTGGTCCGATGGAACTGGAGAATGTGACGGGGCTAGTTGGGGAGATTTCTGATGTTTAGTGTTGGGTTATACACGTGTCCCTCAGTTACACGTTGCATTGAATTGGACAATATTCGAATTTAATTCACTTAGTACGACTAAATATAGCAAATAAGTCGCTGATATTATTATTATTATTTATTTTTTTGTCAATTGATATTATTGATAATACTTGAAAGAATACCACGTTAAATATAATGAAAGTCGGAAAAAAACAAAAATTTTCCTTACAAAATCTAAAACCCAAATAAAAGAAATTAAGCCAACGGACAAAGAAAAAATTCCAGAAACTAAGTCTGAACAACTAGAATAACAAATCATAAAAAAAAAAAATCGAAACCAAAGACTAAGAGTTATGTACTATTAAAAGCCAAATATAAAAAGATTATTTGGTTATGTACTGAAGATATTACGCTTTACGAAATCTATAACATATTCTTTCTACTCGCTAGCTAAGTGATATTATTGAATCTCCAAGCATCATTATCCACTAGTGTAAAGATAACTAAAATTGTTAGAAAGGACTACTAAATTTTTAAGATACTAACATTTACAGATATATATATATATATATATATAATCTTCAACAAATACATACTAAACATTGTTATTATACTATTGCTGACTAATTCTCTGATTAGTAGAAGAAACTAGAAGGAATGAACGAAGTAAATGCAAATCCAACTACTAACAAACTCTACTTAGTCATCATATTTTTCTCCCATATGAAATCCCTATATAAACCCATCCTCACCTCCCACTTTTCTCACATCCAACAACAAACAACACAAGCTTAGAAAACAAAACTCATCTACTATTGTTATCAATCACCCAAAAAGAAGCAACTAACACAAATGGCTTTCGCTTTGAGGTTCTTCACATGCTTTGTTTTGACTGTGTGCATAGTTGCATCAGTAGATGCAGCAATCTCATGCGGTACAGTGGCAAGTAGCTTGGCTCCATGTGGAGGCTATCTATCGAAAGGTGGGGCTGTGCCGGCACCGTGTTGTGCAGGAGTCAAGAAGTTGAACGGTATGGCTAAAAGCACACCTGACCGCCAACAAGCCTGCAAATGCTTACAGTCCGCTGCAAAGGGCATTAACCCAAGTCTAGCTTCAAGCCTTCCTGGAAAGTGTGGTGTTAGCATTCCCTACCCCATCTCCACGAGCACTAACTGCGCCACGTAAGTTTCTTAATGCTCGTACTCTCTCATCTCGAATATTCTTATTTTCTACTTGATCTTGCCACGATAATTTAATGTTTCTAATGACATGCATAACTTATACTCTTGATCGTCTGTATTGTTTCAGCATCAAGTGAAATGGAAGCTTACCTCATCATTTGCCTGATGAAGAATATGGTTTCGTACGTATATCATAAGTAAAATAAAACACGGCTATCTAAGCTGATATTATCATGTCTTTGTTTGTCTTGATGCTTTGTAATCTTTTCCTTTCATATGTTGTATTGACGTGTTTGAGATATGATAATAGTACCCTATTTTAGTCATCTTCTTTTATATCTTTATTTTCCTAGCTCCAACGCACACCAACGTAATGATCAAAAAGTGAAGAGTTCTCTATAAGTAACCAATAATATTAAGCACCTAAGTTTGGAGTGAAATTATTAAATTGAGATTGGTAAACCAATCTATTTATATATCAAGCCTAACATGTGTTTCTCTTTTTCAAAAGTTCAATATTATTTGCAAGGTCAGCTACTGTATAACAACAGTATATATATATATATATATATATATATATATATATATATCTACT